TCCAGGGGGATGAGTATGGACATCCTCTCTCTGTCCATGGGCAGGGAAAGTGCCATCAGTATGAAGAACACTTTCTCTGTCCCATGACCTGGACTGAACCTCATTTGGCAAAGATCCATAATACTGGTGTGGATAGGCACATTTAAAGGTAGTTCTTTGCCAGCTTCCCAGTTATCTTGTTCAAAAACGGGAGGCTAGATAACATATGGTACTTTATAATCTTTGGACTAACCAAACCTTATATATTTAAAAAATACCCAGACAATAGCTTTAAGACGGTAAAAGTAGCATTGACACCCTCCATCAGTCCTGGTTGCTGTTTTCACCAACAATATGCACTGGTCTCAATCACAGGTAGTGAAAGATTTCTATCAGCACTTTTACAGTGTCTTGCTCCAGGAATGTGCCAGATGCCACAGGGCAGTGAAGAGGTTGTGTTTTCCGTCTTACATTTTGTATATGGCTCCTGATTCCAAACATGGCTTTGTGCCTCTTGTGGAGGTGGTTTCCCAGCCAGATGGATGATTCAGAAGAGAAAATCTTACTACTGCAATTGCAGCTCTGGGAGCAGCTGCTATGTATCCTGGGAAGGAAAAGGCAGGAGTAGATGCTAGAGAGAGGCTCTGACTTTTTAAAAGCCTACCAGAGCTGTTGATGAGCATCATCATCTCCTTACTCTTGAGGAAATATACGAGACGCTACGTAGGAGGGCACTCCTCTATGAACTCATTACATTAGTTCATAGCCTCCATAACACAGGAGACATGACCAAAAACATCACAACACTATACAATACTGGAAGTCTGCTTTTTCTTCTGTCAATACTATGATACATGTGACCCACTTCTTCCATTTTAGATCTTGATCTCTGAATGGTATAACTTTCTGTACTTAGTGTCTGTTTCTCTTAGCCAGTTCTTACCATACTTTGAACTAAAATTAAGCAGACATCCTGAGGGTTACAAACCATTTTGTAGTACCATGGCTATCCGTGCTGTGTCTCAAAAAAAATATAATATAAGGGAAGCATCTCAGAATAATGACGTCCATTAAATAGAACCAAAATGTTAGTGCCCTCTGTTGATTAGATGCCATTACTATAACATAACATCTAAATAACTTAAAGTTAACTTAATAAAATTTAGATGTGTAACATTTAAATAACTTAATAAGTGCAAAAGATGGATGGATTGTACTGAAAATTGGAGGGAAAGGTATGAAAGAGCCTGCAAAAAACATTTTCACCATAAGCCAGGAAGGTAAGGAGAAAAATAGGGAAACAGCTATGCTCATATAAAAACAGTTTAGGGAAACAGTACTCAAGAGAATCTGGTAGCAACACAGGACAGACTAACTGAAGTTAGAGAGTTTAGGAAGAAAAGTAGTCAGTCTCAAAAGTGACACATCAGATTGAGTGAAAAACACTGAAACAGAGGCAAGATTACTCTAATATGCATATCCACAATATGTTTTGCAAAAAAGTTAATGCATTAAGCCTCACAACAGCCATGTGATATAGGTAGGGAATATTATTCAAGTAGTAAAAAAAGGGGTACACAATCTGTATTATACTCAACCTCCATCTAAAAAAATGGAGGTTCGAATTTCCGGATAGCCTGAAAAAAAAAATGTAATTATGTCTATCCATTTAAATACATAGAAAGAAATAATTAAGATTCACAAATACTTTCATGCATATATACTGTGCCTTTTTCTGGTTTATGAAACAATAGGAAGCCACAGTTCAGTCTTGACTTTGGTAGTTAAATATACCTCAAAAAAGTAACAAACAAATAAAAGTTATTCCCACTGAGGTTATTCCCATCCAAGGCTTTTTCGTATAATAAGTTTGCTCTTGTATTTAAGGAGACTTGTATAGAGGAGTTCGTAAGTGCTTTACCCATTAGCTTTCTCTCAAAGAGCTTTGAAGTGGAAGTGAAAATGTAATTATCCCTCTTTTCTTCTTCCCTAGATTTTGCCCATCATTTTGGTAACTTCAAAGATAGCTACTAAAAATGGGCACAAGTCACATTTCCTTACACTCTTTTCCTGTGTCCTGCATTAGTACAGCACATCTCTCTCTCACACGCACAATCTTCATTTTGAAGCGTTATTGCCATCTTGCTGAAGTACAAGTGCTGGCAATAGACTTTTTCGGTCCCAGTTTGAGGAGGGGCAGCAGATAACCCAGACTGACCAAAATGGACAGTCTTATTTGAAGTGGGGGTGGGGTGCATGCGTGCTTTTTTTTTTTTTTAGAAGGGAAAGACCGTGACCTTGTATTAATTAGCTGGTCTCATCCAAAAAATTTTTTATCAATTTCCAGTGAAATTTAGCACAACATATTTTCAAATATCAAAAATTACAGACAGCACTTATGTAATTGTCCATTACATAGAAGACATCTCCCTATGCGCTATAATAAGTTAAAAACAAAACAAAGATGTCCAAGATAAGAAGGCAACTTCTGCTATGGATGACAAACTAATTTACAAGTAGTTCAAACAGAAGCGATCCAGAAAGAAGGAAAAATAAAAGATTAGAATACCATCTCAGTTTTCCATGTGGAAGTAATGTGATTTAGCAAACACTAAGTAGAGGAGCACAGCTGATGAAATAGTCTATGGGGGTAAGGAGGTTCATAGAAATAGGGAGGCACAATATAGTGCAGTGACTTGAAAGCTAAAATTAATATTGTGGTTGAAAATGGGAGCCTATCTAAATTTTCCAAGAATCTTATGCTGCCAGTTGAGAGATGGCTTCAATATGAATAACTAAGGCTATCCCAAAACAACACCTCATGTCTGGTGGCTAGATAAGAGGAAAGTTAGAGGCTCTTCTATGCCAAAGTAGTAGCTCTAAAAGGGTTCTGATTGTTTCATTTGCTTGCATTACTACTTAAAGTAAGTTGCCTGCTACATTCAATATTCCTTGTTATAAGAACACCATACTGTGTGCTTTCTACTCCATACATTGTTATTTAGAAACATCAATAATAATTTCTGAATCAGAACTTGTTTTCTCTTAAATGCGTGTGGCCGATTATTCTAAATGAAGATGCATGAAACCCAAATAATACAACTTAATATACATAAATTTGTTGAAGAAAACAAACGTGAGCTAGAATACACAGGCTAGAGCAGAAAAAATAAACATGTGAACTAGACATGGGTCCAAAGCTGCAGAGATAAAAAAAAATGGATATAGATTGAAACAGAATATCACAAAAAAATTGAGGTGTTTAGATTCAGCCCCATCATTTCTAGTATAAGACTATTAAATAATCTACCTATCAAACAAATGCAATTCTTAAACTATTATACATATTCCTATTACAAACAATGCAACATGATACAGTCTCTAATAGTGATTTTAGAAAGATTTGCATTAAAGTGTAATATTTTCTAGAAAAAATAAAGTCCGAAGAGAGCTGTAGACATAGTTTTAAACTATTAATGTTTACATTCAAAGAAATATATAAATTTTATATGTAAAAACTGAAAAAAATGAATGGGACATCATCTACCTACCTACTCCACTTGCTGGACAACTGTAAATAAAAACAAGTATCTAATTTGTTCTTTAAACACATTTCACACTGTGCATAGTTCAAGGCTCTTTAAAATTAGTACTCACCAGCTCAAGAAAACTAAAGAAAAACAGCATTAAGAAACTAGAGGGGTTTTTGTGTTTGAAAAAAAAAAAAATAGTATACATGCACATGACCAGGTGATTTTATCAAGGAGCTACTGAGAAACTAGCTTGAAGTCATTTAAATAGGTAAGGAATTTTAGGACAGATTCCAGCTCTTTCAACCTTCCCCATGGATCACTGGCAAGGTGAGGAAGTTATGCCCAATAAGTCACGCCAGTACCATTTTGTCTCTGTCTTTCAGTCCAATTCCCCCCCTTAGAAAACTAAAAAGGTTTGTTACTGTACCCATCCACTATGAATTAGTCTTAGTTTTGTTAAGCATAAGAAAATGTTATTTATGACTGTTTTTATTAATGGGTTAGAATACCAGCAGTAAGTGAGCAAAGTCTTAATTTCACAGACACAGCTACAAGGTTGAAGTATGAGAAGTAGCTGAGGCTCTGGATCTGTCACGAGATTCAGGAAAATAAATGTTAATTTATATTTCATTCACATTGAGATGGTTATCTTCAAAAAACTATGGCCTAGAATTTATTTTAACGAAACTGAATATTTATTCAAACAAATATCATAGGTCTCTTTGCTTGACAGAGATAAACTTCCCACTAACCAGTGGGAAAAGAGTGATTTTTTTCAAGCCTCAAAATATGTAGTCTCCACATATTCTGGCCCAGGAAGTATACAGAGCATCTTCAGACAATAGCTGTGCATGCAAGTTTAGGCTGGCCAAGGAGTCTTAAGCTGTTGCTGGTGAGATATTTTAGGTAAAAGCTATACAATCCTCTATGTGTGTATAAGTATTATATATGTAATTTGTAACTAGTATATTAAAATGTTTCTGCACTTTCTAGAAGAGATTAGTGATGGCAATACACTATTTTGAAACCATCTTTTACGTTACCAGTTTGAAAAACCAGTAAACATGAACTCTAAAAGTACCAAAGCCTATAAAAAGATAAATAGAAGGCAACTCTAGTTAGGTAAATTTAATCAGGGAAACAAAACAACTTACAACCTAGCCTCTGTTTGTCAGAGGATGGAGATGGATGGCAGGAGAGAGATCACTTGATCATTGCCTGTTGGTCCACTCCCTCTGGGGAACCTGGCATTGGCCACTGTCGGTAGACAAGATACTGGGCTAGATGGACCTTTGGTCTAACCCGGTATGGCCGTTCTTATTTTTTAATCTTGCTTCAAGAATGTATATTTAAGAAAGTGTTTTGGAAAAGTGCATATAATAGAAGAGATCCCATTTTAAGCTACTTGTATTGCCAGATGTGCAGCCATTGTACATCCCATAAATATTAAAACACACAAGTTCAGATAAGTTGTTAAAATGCACTTACTTTTATTGTAGCAGGTTGCTAGCACACCTTTATCTGCAGGACTGGCACTAATGTGCCAAATTTCACCCGCTTGATGGATGAGAACATTTTTGTTTATAATGTTATTTTCATCATCAAAATCTATTATGTGAATCTACAAATACAATAAAAAGATAACATTAGGACTCCACTGCTTTCCTGTGGGTCTTAATTATACATGATGACAGCACAGAACCATGTAATATGAGTTTTATGACTGATATCTACTTTAATTAATTGTTATACTAACAATATAACGCTTTAATTTCATGCAGGATATTTTCTCTAAAAAAGTGATTCTTATTGTGAAGAAATCCCTTTTGTTTATTTTCCCTGGTGTTGCAACTACAGAATACAACCACATTTTCCATTTGATGGTTAACAGAAAATAAGCTACTAGAGCCCTAAACTTGCAGCTCATCACTTTGATAGCAATTAACTGAAATGAAAGCATTCAAACCCTCCATCTAAATGTCTAAGATAATTCTGTATCCAGATCAACAGAAATGAATCTCCCTTAAATGGATAGAAGGAGGGATTATTAGTAGATGTAATAGGAAAACTGATGCCCTACTAGAAGTTTTTCAGCACTCTCTCTTCAACTACTGTATATACATCTGCACTTATCACCAACACATCAGGAAATCTGTCACCATTTAAAAAAAAATTAGACAGGGGAAAAAATGTCAACCTTTCAACTTATAACCATGTAGTCAACTTAGAATCTAGCCAATTGTTTATAAGATTTAACAAGTGGTTTCAGGTGTTACTCACAACCCTCCCCCTTGCCAATTTTTTCTTTTGTTTTATAAACACTTTTTCCAATTTTTAAAAATTGGGTTTATTTCCTGAGCTACCATGTGGAAGACTCATACAAAAAGCAGGGGATACTGACTAAGACTGCCCCTGAAAAACAAACACTTAACATGCATGAGTAACTTTACCCATGCAAGTAAGCCCTATCAGAGGTTCAAGAACAGAACCCTCCGCATGGCAAAAGAAAAAAAAAATTAAACTAAAAACATCCTGGTCCCTACTATTAAATTATGTCATACTAAAGCTTAGCCACACCGTGCTGTAGGCCATTTTTTGAAGTGTTTAATGCACTAGATAGAACCAATCAGTCCAGTTTTAGGATTTGTTTGTTTAGTTTTGCAATACTGAGTATTCGCTACGAGATGATCTTGCTCTCAATCCATCAACTCCCAACCACAAGAAGGGTTATATCCTCTAGTCTCGTTCATCTCAAATTAGTATTCACCTTTTCCTCACTCTCTTCAGTGCTGCCATCTGCAATTACTGTCTTAAATTGGACTTTGGTTCCCCAATACTAGTACCATTCTCCTAGTCTCCTATCAGACTCTAAAACATCTAAGAATCTAAAATGCTCATCAGTTGCTCAAGGAGCCATCTCCCTCCAGTCATCATTTGATGACCCAAACGATGAATCCATCTATGAAGTGAGACATTATTCATCCCCTGTACCAAGACATATCCATCTTCATGTCCAATTTAAAGTAACCCTCTGCCTTTCAAAAAATTGTCCCCGGTTTCATGTAACCTTAACTCTTGCTTGAGCATCATCTAATCTGCCAGACTCTACCTTGGCCTCCTCTATATCCTGTTCCCACAACTGCACATTATGACTTGTGCTGCCTCATCTATAACGATTTCTCCCTCATTTCATCTTTATATTTGACCTTCAGGCCTTGACAGTCACGATAAAGCATGTTGTGAGACTCTTTATCAAAGGTAAAATGCATATTTGTACTGGATAAACTTACAATTCCAACTATTTGCAGACAAACTGGAAGCAAAATACCGTATTTTTTAATTTGAGACATGACGATAAAGAGAAGGCAATAGCAATGTAGACTGGAATTACAGTCAGTGGAAGAATTCTTCCTTTTATAATTCTTTGGCCTAACGTACCTCTAAACAGCCACATAGTTAGGACTGAAGGGCTATTCCTACGATGTCAATCTTTTACAATTGCTTCTCAGTCTTGCATCCCAGGATCCCTCCAGTTCACCATTTCAAGTAAGAGAAAGATTTATAGCAGGATGTTTAGAATGTGAGAATCACTGTACTATCCTGCATATGGAAAGATTCAAACTAAAAATTTATGCCAATGCTGCAGCACGCAGTACATCAGTCCTGCCTGTTTGCATCTTTTTCTTACTCTCAAAAAATGTGAAACCTTCTACTGAAATTATTAAGTAGACTCCTTGCAGTGCAATTGGTTCCCTAAAGGTGAACTACAAATCAAAAATCCATTTACTTCAGCAATGTGTATTATATGTCCCCCACTAACCAGGTTAAGTGGGTCATTCAGCACATAAACCAAAAGAGTACCTTTTACCATTATATAAGGCCCCTCAAAGTCATATAGACAGTTTCTACTCTGCTGTGAAGATTCTGCTTCAGCTGATCTCACAGCTACCAGGTAACTCTGCAGGAGCAAAGAGTCAACTCATGCAGGTTATGGATAAATCCTTGATTAAAATAAAATTTCACATTTGACAAAAGCTTATTTTTATATCCTTTTGGTGTAGGGAAAATATGAAATATCCTTCCTTGGTAGCTGTGACATACATCCTGGGTACAAGAAGAGATGCTACAGCAAAGTGTGAACATGTTGACCTGCTGTGAGTAAGAAGGGAGGGGGCTTAACAATGGAAAAAAAGTATTTTCTCTCCATGGTTTCTGTGCTAATGTTCTTCTTAGCCTGGCCATTGTGAACATTCAGCACACATTTCTAAAGTCAATGAAATCTTGTTAATTCTTCTGTCATTCATATTTAGTGTTTTCTTCAAATACATTTGGGCCAAATTTATACTTAACACAATCCGATGCCATAATGGCCAATTCTGGCAAACAAGACAGACCACTTCACATCACACTCTTATATGGGCTTCAACTCTGAAATGTACTAACCAATGTTGTCCAAGTAAGACATCAATCAAAAGTTAACGAGTGCACAGGTGAGTTAATAGATTAAATATAATCATGTGTTGTGTGAATTAGATACCATGGTGGCAAGCACCTTAGAAAGGGATAGAGTAAGCAAGTGGTAAGTAATGGCTTGTCAACATGGAGAAGTTTTCCAGTACAGCTATAGCTGAATAATGCCCGTGTGGATGCTCCAATCCAGAATTATTTTGCTTTGCTAATAAAAAATCACTTTTATGCCCGAAAAAGTGTCCCCACACAGGGAAATAATACCAATACAGAGATAGCAGAATAATTATTCTGCTATAGCTATTCTGGGAAAATTCACTATGTACACAAGCTGAAAGTAAGAACAATAACATGTTTAGTTTTCTTCCAAAATATTGAAAGTTCACAAAAGAATGATCATTCAACACTTCTGTCTGATTTTCTCCAGAACAAAATTTTACACAAATTTTTAAAGTTTTGTGATCCTTATAACTGAATACTTTTCGAGCCACACACAGTTGTGGCTTGTAATGGCTCAAGTCAGGAAAGTCCAATTCAAACAAGGTTGGCCAAATCCATTTTATAAGGAGATCCTTTCCTTCTCACCTCTAACTACCACCTCGGTTCCTCTTTCTAAATCAAAGGTTAAGGGAGTCACGTTAGGGCCTTGCAGAGAGTAAAATCCAACCCTTGCTTTCCCTGCTTGACAGTAGCAAAAACCCAGTACAGTGCTCTTTTCCTGTTCCGAGAGCTTCTATGCCCCCATTTCCATAGATGCGTGAAACAGCACTAGAAGGAGACAAATGTAGAAGCAGGGATGTTAAGCAGAGAACAGTACTTAAAGGGACAAGACCAAAGACCTTGCATCACCATCAGGGAGGGGAACTAGACAAGAGTAAGAAACAGAATGCATCAGTGAACAGAAGAGGATGACAGTGGGCAAATAAATAGGGACTAATACTTATATTTACCCCTTTCTGGAAAGGTTGTATGGAGAGAAAGCAGGCAGAGGACTTCACCTCCAGCTCTATGGGATGAAAGCATAGGACTTTTCAAAGTGGAACTGACCCCCAGGAGCCAAAAATACCCCTCTCCACAAGAGCCAGTGTGGCAGCATACACCGGTAGCTCTTGGATCCCTGCTAGGGCATCAGACTCTATTTACAAATGTGCAGTCTGCCCTAACTGGTTGTTAGCTCCAACTTCCTTCCTGCCCCCTTCTTTACAGTTCCTGTGCTGTAAGCCTGGTTCTCCCTGCCATCCATCTTTTCCTCTTTCCTTCTCCACATCATCCTCCACACTGATTCTCCTCCCATTCCTTCCTCCTCCTATTCCCCGCTCACCCCACCTCTGACCCCATAATAAAAAATTAAATAAAACCCATGGAACTAAGAATGTGTCAGATATCATGACGACTTTGCTTTTATATCTATATAGATTATCTCCATATCCCCCTTTACCCCACCTTCTAGGTGTTTTTAGATTGTAATGTCTTCAGTGTGAGGACTGTCTTTTCACGTGTGTTCAGATAGCAACATAGAATAGCTGGTATGAAACTATGGCACCTGGCATGCTTTACTATTATAAATTACACTGATTAAGTTATGATGGTGGAATGCCAAGTACTAGATATAGCATGCTAGATCTTAAAACCTGAGAACCATTGACATTCTGGGTGTTGCCATAACACAAATAATTTTATCATCACTTTTTATTATTATTATTCCTCCACTTTTAATATAAATGTTACAAATGAAGTGTTTTCTGTTTTCAATTAATCTTCTATAAATACCTCCATTTCTTCTGCTGCAAAGCGGTTTTTGAACTTTCTACCTCCATAAATCAGGACAGCTCTGGGACTAGCTTTCTTCTATGACACACCTTTATGTGACTTGAAACAAAACAAGAGATTCTGCATATATTGATGCTATATGAAAAAAAACCCTGACCATGTAGCCCCTGGTTAGAAGTCACAGCACCAAAGGTGCCAGCCAGCTACTAAAGATAGGTCAAGTAATGGGAAAAAAGGTGGTGTAGAATTAAGCAACAGTGATCGAAGCCTATAGTATTTCTTGGGGATTAATGACTAGCTGGGAGAAGATAATGGCCCTTGGCTGTGCTTCATGCCATCAACCACAACTATTTGTTAATAGCTCACTAAAAGCACTGCACCTCTATTGTTAGTGCTATTCCCTTGAAAGAGAGAAAAAAAGTCAGATAGTGAAAAAGTGTTAGATGCAGGTTCAACATGTATGTACAGGGCTAGAGTAAAGAATTAATGTCCACAATCACCTTGTCAGAATCATGTCAACATTTCCTTTTCAGTAAATGTTAATGATTTGAAACTCATTGGATATTAGGCAATAACTAGAGAGTACTTCCTCCTTAAAAATTAATAACTAAATCCTCGGCTAAATACTCCGTGAAGTCAAAGATAGTTTATCCTAGGCAAAAAACTAGATGTAATTACCCAGTTAGTATAAAACACCTTCACAGTCAATAGTTAATCTTCGGGCATTTCACTATCTGAGATATAACAATGAAAAAAATTTTGCTCCTTTGTTTTTTTTAAACTGATTTTTTTCTGTGTCATTTTCTTCTCCCTCTGCCAACCATAATGTATACAGATATATAACACAACACCCAGATTTTTATACTTTGAACAGCTTCTCTTCTCCCTTGCACGCTAGGTTATATTTAACAGGACAAAAACAAAATAATCTGAATTTTGAAAATAATACTCTAGGAACATTGCTCCCTTCCCTACATTTTCTATCATGTCTCCTCATTCTCCCAATCTTGGTATGTTTTTTATTTTACATCATGTTCTCTATCAATTGGAAGGAGTAAGCTTTTCGGGGCAAAGGTCTGGTTTTCATACTACAGAGTGCCAACATGCCTATACGAACAAACAAGGTGAAACCGTTGTGTTTGCTATGCCATTATGGATGCTGTGTTCAGTGGTCAAACTGGGGCAAAAGGTGGTGGTACTGTTCCAACCATATGAACTACCAAAGTGAGACAGTGCTCACACTGGATTGTGCAGCTTTTCAAAATATGATTATGCATGCCCTCTGAGCTCAGCTCCCCATTGACAGAGCTTGACTTTGTCCATGCACTCTGCTCAGCTCCTTCTTGACGGAGGGGAGGGGAACATCTTTCAAACTTAACACATACTAATAACACCAAAATGAGACATTCACAGTAAGTCTGTGATTCTCTCTCCTTTCTCACATGAAAAACAAAACAGTTCATGTTGACATTTAAGTTACTATTGGCCATCTGAGACTAAACTTCACTGAGATGAATAGAGATGAGCTTCTGTTCCAGGCTCTCACCACTCTCTAAACATCTTTACATCATTTATACCCCTCACATTTGAGGTTTTCTTCAAAATCATAACAGCTAGAGATTGGCTTTAAAAAAAAATGAAAGCTGAGATTCTGGAGAATAAGAAAGAAGCTTGAGAGAAGTGTCAGCACACTGTACCACCATGCACCTCCTGAATCCAAGCTCTGTTTGTGTGCTAAAGGTATTAGTGAATAAATACTGTTACTGAAACTATTCTAATGTGAAAAGTCAGTGACTGTACTAACACTATGGGTTTTTTAATCTAGTTTAGGGCTCCAGCCTGCCTTTATATTGAAGGGCATGTCCTAATTTAATCTTATAAAAAGTCAGCTATTTTACTTTTACAAGGACAGATTGGACAAAATAGGCAGCAGTGTATAGGCTGTACGTCACTGTAGCCCTTACTCCCTGCAGAAACACAGCGATGGAAGTTTTATGGATATTCATAGGCAAAAAATGAAGTTAGGCTCATGGAAATAGAGCTGTAGACAATTATTAATTAAAACCTAAAGGCCCAGATCCTGCCAATACTTACACATACATGTCTTTAAGGAGTTCCATTGAAGTAAATCATGAGGGCCTAACTACGATTTCAAAATGGAAAGCAGGATTTTACTTTAATTGGGTTACCTGTTCTGCAGTTTAAAATGGTTCTACAAAATCAAAAGGAGTAACTTAGTACTAGAATTGGTCAAGTAATATTTATTAAATAACTAATTTGATTAATTTTGCAATTTCTCTCAAATAAGTTATTATAAGCTTTTTAAAATTAATTATTCACCAGTCTTAGAAAGTTGGGTGACTATGAAAATATATTATCCTTTAAAAAAAAAAACGACATCTCATTCACCTAACCACTTATCAAAACGTGTACATTTTGTTCACATAATACGTATTTTTAAAATAAAGCATCTAATGCTCAAACTTGGCAGGAAAATGAAGTAATACACTGGTAAAAAGTTGAAGAATATTCCTGATACTTAACGTATTATTCTGACAAAAGTTTACCTGATTATCATATTTGAGAGACTGTGTCCCAACCAAAAATCGAATTGCATCCGTTTCTGCTATCTGGGGTGTTAAAGCACGGGCCTAGCAAAAAAAGAAAACCATTATAAAAACACAATGCAATACATTATTAATAATTTGTGAAAATCTTGGAACATAAAAGACACCCCAGTTGATCACCTTAAGCACCAAACTTTTACACTACATCTTTCTCCTAAACTTTATCTGTATTTAGGCTATTTACGTACGTTTTTTTAATGAAGGGATTGCTTCTCACATCTGTAAAGTACATACATGCTCTGGGTGCTAAATAAATGATGTGTCCATATTTATTTAAAAAAAAAACACACACACACAATTCAATGTTAAGGATTTCTCCCAAATTAATTCTTCTTAATGAACTCAGAATCATGAAACCTGGGAAGGAGGCAAAAGTGACTTCAAAAATACTTAAGGCCGCTGCAATGACAAAGGGCATTCTTGAACAAATTATTCAAAACAAATATTTTACACCTTTAAGTAAGATTCCTGAACCCACACGGAAAGTCACCAATTCATAGAATCATAGAATATCTGGGTTGGAAGGGACCTCAGGAGGTCATCTAGTCCAACCCCCTGCTCAAAGCAGGACCAATCCCCAGACAGACTTTTGCCCCAGATCCCTAAATGGCCCCCTCAAAGATTGAGCTCACAACCCTGGGTTTAGCAGGCCAATGCTCAAACCACTGAGCTATCCCTGGGGTGCAGAGATTAGAGGCCAGGAGTCAGATCCCCAGGCCCCCCCTTCTAGCCCCTAGGGAGACCCCCTTGCCATGACGCACTGGCCTTTCCTCCATCGGGGGTTCCCCCATACCATTCTTTTCCCTACTATTCACAGGAAAGAGCAAGCTAGAAGGAAAGAAGTTCTTGGTCCGCCTTGCTTTTCAACATTAAGCCACTAAAGCTAAGACCATATTAGAATGACCATAATGGAAATGATCATCCTCTGCTTACTCATAAAAAAGGCACAGTACTGGCAGTGATAATGCAGCCATTCCCACCCTACCCTGCCAATTTCCTCAACCCTGTGGTAGAGGATATTTCAGTCTTTGGCCAGCTTGCTAAAGAGACCAATAAGGTGCTGTAATAAAACCTCAGATAACTTTGGAATTCACATCCCTACTTGCTCTTAAATATCCCAAATCTGTCGACACTCCAGGCATGCTGCAAAGCCCATATTTTTAAGCAGGCATTTTGGAAGGACTGAGGTAGCTAGTAGCTCTGCCTATCTCCACTACACCCATTCTTTTTTGTCTGACTGATAGTTAAATGCTGGGAGATTAAGGTGCTGTTTTATTTACAATAGCCTTACTGATTAAGAATCTATTTTTAATTGATGATTAAGGTGGCTAGAACTTTGGAGAGACATGCTTTTAAGAGTGTTATTATTTTATCTATTTCATTTTAACCACAAGTTAATTACAGAATAGTATTTTGGAAAAAACACCCTTAGATCTTCATTGAATAAAACAAGCAGTCCGACCCATCTTTTGGGGGGTTATGATCAGATTGGACCTGGAGTTCAGAATTCATTCTGAAACACCACTGAACAGATAAACATTTCAGATGCTAGACTGAACACTGATTTAGATGAAAAACTACATTTTCTACTTTAGATTTAAACCTGACATGGGTAACAAGTGAAATGAGTTTACTGGTCAAAAACTAGTACACTGTGAGCATTTAAACAGATCATAAAGTGAGTAGAAATTTTGATTCAACTGACAGTTTGTTCTCAGGACATGCTAAACTCTGAAATAATAGAAATGAATCACTATGGATTTACAATGTTACATCTATGCAATGAAACTTACATTACATCTACCTGCATTGGGTCTATACAGAGCTAATGTTACTAGTCTGTAGTGTTCAGTGACAGCAAGAAAGTTCACCAAAAAGCTTTTAATTTTTATATAAAATTTACAAAGTGGATTTTTCCCTCAGCCATGGTGAGAACTTCTTTTCATTTCAAATCCCCTGCCAAGTTCTTTTCACAAAAGCACCACTAGAAACAACCCAGTCATTACAAATCTCCTTCAACCAAATAGACTTCAGTTGTTTAACAAGTGGAGTAGAACAAAACAACAACAAAAAAGATCTCCTGGGTCTTTCATGGAATAAAGAAATACTGGTAAGAACTTTGTTTCCTCATCTTTAAAGAGCCTCTTCTTAAAAGCAGTTTAGACTCAAGGTGCACTTTAAAATAAAAGAAAAAGAGATAATGTCACCATATGCTGACATTTGTCTATGGACAATCAACTTTTTCTTCTTCCTTCCCCCTCCAAAAAAATTAAAAGTCGGAATTATATTTTCCCCCACTCTGCTGAAAATATTAAAAGTTTGTGTTAAATATCTGAAACTGTAATACATTTAAAAATAAAGAACTGACTTCCTACATGTTATCCTCATTCAAAGAATGGAAAATGCATCTGTGTTTATCAGATTTGTCAATAAGGGATTACCAGTATCTGAGACAGTTTGATTCTTAATAGAGATAATGGACCTTCAGATGGCCCATGCACAAGTATACAAATCTGTTATTTTTTAATTGTGACTACTCAGGCAAGTTGATTCAGAGAAAGTCACAACAGCAAAACAGCTATTGGTGTGCAGAAATTTCTGCCTACCATGCTGTGACCAATACTGCCTCTTGTTTAATTGTACTTCCTTGTTTGTGTATATCCATCTGTTGTCTTCGGTCTTAGACTTAAATTGTAAGCTCCTTGCGGCAGGGACTGTCTTTTTGTTCTGTGTTTGTACAGCACCTAGCACAATGGGGTCCTGATCCATAATTAGGGCTCCTCGGTGCTATAGCAATATAAATAAATAAATGATCATTTCAACAGGTGATAGAGGTACTTCAAATGGACAGGACATTTGCTTTGAGCATGTGGTCAATGTATAGGAGAGTTTGGCAACTGGTGGTCTAAGCTCCCCTCCCCTACCTTAATGACAAGCCTTGGTATTGAGTCACTGTGCACTGCTGCTGTCCTCCTCCACTTGAAGCATGCGCAGTCTAATTCACCAGAAAGCTTGAGATACAGAAAACTCCAGCCCCATAATCATATCTGCAATTGAATAGGTATAGATAGACCCTAGCTAATACTGAAACACAATGGTTATATGGAAAAGCATATGAACCACAGAGACATAATCTAGTCAAGTGAATAAAATGAATTGGCATTTTCATTTACTGCATCCTAAAGCAGTTTATAGAGCCATGAATTACATAGCTGGAGAGGAATAACCATATGCATGCAAAAAAGTGTCTATAATGCATCATCTGTTTCCAAGGTAGTAAAACTATCATACTTTTAGTACCAGCAGTATGAGCTCTGAGTCGATTTAAAACAACCCTTCCACTACAGCAAAAAAGGAGACAAGATATTACTTCAAGAAAACAAAGATTTGAGAGGTCACTGGGCATAGTGGTGGGCAGTGTGTGAAATCACTAAAAAGAGAAGTCTGACCTAAAAAGAGTTCTGTGTAAGTTCATCTCTCTCACCAACCGAAGTTGGTCCAATAAAAGATATTACCTAACCCATCTTGTCTTTCTACATTAAACATTCCAGAACTCCTATGCCAAAGTAGATGTGATGTTATCCAGTTATCAAGGAAAAGCTACTATTTGGGTAACTACATCTGACCCTGGCAGATTAAATTGAAACAAAAATTTAAAAAAATTATGTTTGCTAGTCACCAAAAGAGGATTCCCATAACCCTGGCAGGCAGTGGAGAAGAGACTTTTATCTCACCCTGGCTGGTCATGTGCAAATTAAGTATTGTATAGTTCACAATGGACACCCATTTACAGTAAGAGGAGCATTTAAAAAGACTTGGACAGTTCAGCTTAAAAATGAGACAACTAAGGAAGGGTATGGTAGAGGTTATAAAATCATGAATGGCATGGAGAAAGTCAATAAGGAGTGTCATTTACCCCTTCACATAACACAAGAACCAAGGTCACCCAATGAAATGAATAGGCAGCAGGTGTAAAACAAACACAAGGAAGTACTCCTGCACACAGTGCATAGTCAACCTGTGGAATGTTGTGAAGGCCAAAAGTAACAGGTTCAAAAAAGAACTAGGTAAGTTCATGGAGGATAGGTCCATCAATGACTATTAGACAAGACAGTCAGGGATGCATCCCCATGGTCTGGATGTCCTTAAATCTCGGACTGCTAGAAGCTGGGACTAGAGACAGAGGACGGATCACTTGATAATTTCCCTGTTATGTTCATTCCCTCTGATGCATCTGGCACCAGACACTGTCCAAAGACAGGGTATGGGGCAAGATGAACCATTGGTCTGGCCCAGCATGGCCATTTTTATGTTCTTAGAGTCTGAGCAAAATGTTAATCAATAGATTGTGAAGGCTGAAGGAAAAAACAAAAATAGCCTGGTTATCCTGCTTAGGAATAAGACAATGAACTTTTGAAACTGTATCTAGGGTGCAGATGAAAACAAAGTATTCCTTCAATCTCTGAGGACAAGCTGCCAACAAGCTTGATTTTATGAGTTGGTATCTCAGACAACCTGGTTGAAAATGATGAGAAAAGGACGTGGGGCAAGCTATTTTGTAGAATATAGTGAAATGCCTTATTAGTTAAGTTTAGGCTTTAGAAAGTGTGTTATGATTTTGTTTCATATGTAACCATTTGTTTCCAATATTCTCTATCACTTGTATCTCTGTTCTTCAATAATAAATGTATTATTGTTTTCATTATCTAAGTGCTGTATGTTAAGTAGAGTAGTGATACTGAGTTCAATCTTTCAAGCTGGTGTGTACTATTCCTTGAGGAACAGTGGATCTAAGAGTTCCGAGAGTGCTCAGGGGAACAAGGGTTGAGCACTCCAGAAGGGACGGCTGGAGGACTCAGAAGTTGGTGTGTGCCTATCACCAGCCTGTAGAGAGAGAGCGAGGCCTAGAAGGTAGTGCTTGTCTTGTCAGAGGCTGGAGGTTTCAAGGTACTGATCCACAGCAGGCACAATACTTCCTCCTGCTAAGGGCAGGTGGTGGCCTGGTCCCTCACAACCCTCAGTAC